TTTTTTTTCTCGAATTTTTTCTTAAAATAATCCTTCAGCCTTTGATACTGCCATAAGATTCATTGGTAATCTCGTTAGTGACCAGAAAAAAAAAACCAGAAAAAGTGTACAAGTGACTTCCCTACATTACATAATCAGAGTAAGAAGAAACTGTCAGGTACAAGCACAAACTTCTTCTTCTCTTCTGTTCTTCACAAGTAGGTATTACTTACAATTATGAGGAATTTTTAGAATTTCTTTAACGCATTTTATTTTTTTTCGAGCTCGTGCTCTCAGCCTAAGCTTACCTCAATGATGATGAGAGGTTTCCTTCAAATCATTTCACTTTGCCCAAACTGTGGCCAAATCGCGCGTCGAATTAGATGATATAAAGTTGCTTCTCAGGATGTAAAGTGCTCATTAAAGGAATGTTCTCCCAAGGCTGATTGTGGAAAGGTCAAGTTGGCGAGACGGACCGCAACCTGTGAATTGGAAGTGTCGACAGAATTGGAGGATTGCCTAGGTACCGTGGAACATTCCTCTGGGAATTTTTGGCAGCTCCGAAATTTCGTGAAAACTTGACGTGCCTCAAAAATGGTTGGAAGCAGTAAAGCAGTACAGAAAAAGGAGCATATCGACATCTGTACCCCTAACTTTTCCCTAAATGACCCCATGGAGTCCGACCACTTCCACTCTTCGGAGACTTATGTCTTTCGTCTTGTATCCCGCTTGACCGAGCTTTCAAATATCTTCGGGTAAAGCATATGTTCTTAAGGAACAAAAACAGATTGAGAGTACTCATATATAGGGCAGTGAAGTCTACTTTGAAGACTCCGAAAAGTTCACTTTTGTTTCCTACATAATCAAATCAATGGGTGACCTTTGTAAAAAGCCAGATGCAAATTGCACTACTGATATGAAATTCCTACAACTGCTGTTCGGGAAAGGATTATTTAGTACAAAGGCGCGTGATGTAGTACTAGCAACGAAATGGGCGTAATTTAACATGCGTTGAATTCAAATTTCATCTGTCTACCCCTGGTCCGACTACTCAGCTCTCATCTCGACAGTCTTGTCTTGTGATAGCACTTCTCTGACAGATTTTTTCTTAGGCTCTATGATTTCGTTGACAGTTCATGTGTGCCATGTCGACACGGTCCACTCTTTCGAGTTATCTGACACGGGAGGGAATACCCCTGAAGAAAGGAACGGCGTAGAACAATGTATAAAAANAAAAAAAAGTTCCATCCCAAATTCACGTGCATTGCATTCCCACTGTGAAAAAGTGTGGTCAATACGGTATGGTCGACCACGTGCATGCATAAATACGTGGTGTACTTATGCCAGAGCTTTCCTCTCAGGTATTTGTCAGCGAAGCGGGTTCTCATCTCCCTTTCCATCACCTCTCACGTATGTATGCCAGTTCTTAGAGCTAAAAGTTCTTGTACTGGAAAATTCCTTGTCAGCACTCCAGGCCAGTTCCTGAAGGAGGCATCGCAACTGATAAGCTGGGTGTTTGATTAGAAAACAAAAATTCAGTAGCATCACGGGATTCCACTGATAAAATGGCAAATAGAATTATAGGTTTAGCATGTCAGTCAATTAGCACTAAGAAGTAAAAGAAACTTGTCAATTACAGTGTACGATAAACCCGTGGTGGTGTTTAGTTCCTTGAAATTTCTTGGAGTCTAAAAGTTTACGGTGGCTGCCACTAGAAACAAAAGTACGAGGGAAACTCCACATCAATTTAATCCTTTTGTTGACCCACCACTCAACTGTCACTGGCATGATTACTCTATCTTTTTTTGGTACTCTGTACACAGTACCAATTCAACAGACACCGACCGTTCCCCCAGGATTTCCCTCTGGTTTTCATACGGCCACTTGAGAGCGATAATGATGAGGCATAACTTTCATGTTTAAAGACCACTTTTGAGATTTTTTTNTTTTTTTGCTCTATCTCTCTCACCCATTCCTATTTAAAAGCCTGTCATTCTTTTCCTCCCGTCATGCTATTCACTGAAGTCTATCTTTCTTGATCCTCATCTCTTTCACTTTAACTTTCTGCCTGTTTTTGTCTTCCTCTATTTATTCAATCTCAGAGTTGCTTACGAACCGATGTTACTGTTTACGAATACTTCAGTCTTCATACAGCTCTTATGTGTGTGTATGTGTGTGTGGCATGGGAGTAATTCTGTCCAAAAAAAAGCAAAAAATCGAATAGAGGCGGCATGACCAAAAGGCATACCTGTCAAAATGGTGCTAGTTTACTTTGCTTCTAAGAAGAGTCACTGTTTTTTCACAAGTCCCCGAGGCCTATCAGTAAATAAAGAACTTTGGAATGTAATTGATCGCGTGAAACGGACAGGAAGCAAAAAAAAAAAGAGAGAAAAAGTAACAATTCGACAAAAAAAGACGAAAAATATATAAATCCCAATTTTGTGGAACTCAAAAAACAAGGATAGGATTATGTGAAGCCTTGCACTTTGGAATCCCGCGTCGGAAAGAGAGCTACTTGATTATCATTCACCACGACTGAGAAGATGAGTAAGATTAACGAAAAGGTCAAACGGGTTAGAAAAAACGAGAATTGAAAAGACCAAAAATCGGTCGAAAGCTGGCTGCAGCTCTGTTTTCTTCTGGAATATTCTGGAAAATTCCATGAATTAGATTTATAAGGAGACCAGCCTTTTGCGTGCAAGTAATTTACCGGAAGCTTATTCTTGCTTATTCAGTCCCATGGTGACCGAACTGTCTTTTCATTATGGGTACAAGTTCTTTCTCTGCAAGTTCTAATCCGGCCAATCCGGTGCTGAAACCCATCGAACGTTGTAGCTAGTATCTGGTCTGGGAGTCCTTCTAGGTGATTCTGTGAGCACTTCTTTCTACACCTCGAAGTCGAAGATGAACCTGGATCTGATCAACTGACTACGATACGATACGATCATGAAAGCTCCGAATATAATATGCGCATACAAATAGGTAATGTCGGTCAATGTTTTTCTGCTGTGTGGAAACTTTGGAGTATTTCAGAAAGAACCACGGCTTTTGCTGAATGTCCGGCATATGCATTCCGACGATGAGCCCCTCAATCAGTCTACCCTTCATTATGTGTCCGACATCATATTATCACATCATATCATAGACAACACAGCGCTTTTACCCTCCCAGCCGAGTCTGGTATCAGTTGAGCCAATCCAGGGGTAACATGAGACTATGTTGGCTCGGACGAGTATCAGTAGGGATTCGAACCCGGATCATACATGTGTGATAATGCACTACCTGCCACTGCAACACTCCGCTCAATACTAATACAAAGAAGTCGAATGTCGTTAAAAATTTTCTAAAGGAAGTGGAAGCAGGAAATGGAAGTGGGAAGGTAATATGGAAATTAAGCGCTTATCACAGTTTCCGTCATTCGTACTAGATCAATCCTGTATTGTAGTGGTCATTTCCAAGTCATATGCCTAACAGCAGCCACTATCTTTCCACTGCTGTTCCAGACCTGGTACGTGAGCCTCCTCTCTTTCACATGACCCATTCTGATGAGAATTCTGAAACTGCTGTTTTTCACTTAACAATTATCACTCATCATTTTTTCCCTCGTTTGCCATCTTATATCAAATTTATACCAATTTATATTCTTTTTTGTCCTTTCATATCGCTATCCTTGACTCTTGGACCTCTTGGAATTCCCTGTATTCTCTTTCCAGACACATCATGGGACTTCGCTGACGTCCCATCAAATGCCTGCTCATTCTCTTATGTGCTCAGCAATCACGAGAAACATTCTGCAAATCTTGGACTACGTACTAATCATGCCAAGGTCACGTAGGCCCGCCGTCACCACCAAGGTCCGAATCTGGGCCGTTTTTCACCGTTCCTCGTCCAAGTACCATCTCTTAACTCGTCTTCTGAGGTAGCAATGGGAGAAGCGTTTCATCAATTTCCTTTGATCCCCTCTTGTGCACTCTCTGACAGCCCACTCTGGTTCACGTTTGCCTCTTATAGGGGACAGTTCTGCTCTTAAATACGCTAATGATTCTCCATTACTTTGAACTAACGTCATGCCACGCCCATGCACCGTAACGGACGATTCAAAAAAGCTCACAAAAATCAGGGCTAATGTTTGATTGCAGTATTCTGACGCAAACAAACTGATGAGTAAACCAAATATAAGCGTTTGAACTTTTTACATTTCCGTCAAATCTTTTCTCATACGTTGTGCCATCGTCTCGATCGCAAAGCGGTTCTCAACTACTCATCCTCTTTTCCTCGCTGTTCGTGCATTGGCTTTTAATGTGACCATTTCAATTTCATAACTTTGTACTCAGGAAATGACTCAAATTTCGAGTTCAAGCGCTTCTCGGCCAACCGATAAGGCTGTTTCGGGTGATGGAAAGCAAAGCAGTTTCGTTACAATGTGAGTTTTTTAAAAGTAACCTTTCCCTTTTGCTTGCTGCCGTAGTCAGAGATTGGATCCCGGATCATAATAGGGATGAATGATATATCGAGATATGGCTGGGTGCAGGGCTTTTACCCTGCTTACCGGTAACACGCGGTGAGCACTACTAGTAAGCATACTCGTGTTGGAGTTCCGGTAAATGCCCATGGCACTCATATGGCGCTAGAGAGCATCACTGAAGCCTGGTGTAGCTACCCGACTTTAGCCCGTTTGTGGAATGCCTAAAATCACTTGGTATTTTACTCTCTTTTATGGTTGTTTGTTGTGGTCATTTCGTTCGAGTTTGCAATCAGATGATCACCATCGACGTAGTGGCGCATAAGTGAATAGTCGGTACGACCTGTTCTTGTTATTACGTATGACCCAATACTTCTCGTGGCATACACCTCTGGTAGTCCTGAATCTCCTACGGGAATAGCGTTACGAAGTGGCGACTGACTCTATTGGAGCATTGGTTCCGCTCGTCACTCTTTTCCCGCGCAAATTCTGCAATAGATCAAAGATAATCGTAGATCAAAATATTTAGTCACTGACTCCTCTCCTGACATTAATTAATTAGTATTTTCCCGGAAGCTAACTTTAAAAAGCTAACTATTACCCATCTTCTGTTAACCTAGTTACCAGAAAATCGGTTTGGGAGTGATGTGAACAAGACATCAGGTAATTGGTATGCGAGGAGTATTAAGAAAGGAACCAAGGATTAAGTCTTCCTCAGATGAGTTACAAATTGGAATAAGTGTGGGAACTAACTTGCTCTGGTTTCCATTTTCAGTTGGGCAGGTTCAAGGTCGAGCGCGCTTCTTTTTATCTTCTTTTGTGAGCTTTCTAACGTGTAGCATTACTTGTAGCTTTAGATAGGTACAGAAATCATTATTATTACTCATTACCAAAATGTACATGGAAATTTGGACAAAAATCTGTCCACCACCGGAATAAACAAATCACAAAACAACTTTAGATGAGTGAAAAGGAAATAAAAAATGTAACAAAGTGAGAGTCAAGAAACAAAAAAGAAACGTACTTGACCAAACTCTAAGTATCATAATGTGGTAAAAAAGAACGCGACTGAGCTACAATTACAAAGTGTAGGCAAAATTTGCTCGAGATGGTGCAATCCCTCAGGCATCGGGTGTTTCTTGGTTAATTTTCTGAACTCAGCAGAGTCACAAACTGAGGAGAAGTTTGCTCTTATACTGGTTCTTGCAGAATGCCGGACTAGCTTTGATTTCTCCCCTCTAAGGACAGGCGTATGAAGTGTATATAAACCTTGCATGTCAACCGATATTTTGCCTGTCTGGATTTTGTACAAAGTCATGAGATCAAGCTTCTTCCGCCGACATGCAAGAGATTCTACCGAGAATGTAGTCGCTGACAATTGACTTTTAAATAGAATTATAAATGAAGCCAAGGGCTCGGTTAAAAACTTTTTTAGTGAAGCTATTATTTTGAACCAACTCGAACTTAGTGATCGATTTTTTCCTACACGGATAGAAAACCATAGAGGAGCAAATACCTGGTTTTTAGGTTCTTATGAGAATACAGGGATCTTTTGTGCGCGAACTTCTGAACAGTTGTGCTAGTCTACCCTCAGCTTTATGAACTATCGTCATGATATGATATAAGCGTTGAAAGACAACTTATTATCAATGAGAAATCCCAAATCTTTGACGACAGAGGGATTTTTGAGCTTAGATCTATCGGCGTAATAATTAGGAGTATTCCCAGCAAATTCCAAGTTCTCTCATCTTTGAACCTCGGCATGTCTGTTGTTCTTCAAATCGTTAGTTTTTACTTCTGCCTCGAGGTTTGTAGGTGGAAATATTTATTACGGCCGACGTTTCGACGGACTCGTCGTTTTCAAATACCGCGAATCAGAGATCTCTCCCAACTGCACCGTTTCCGCGTATGTTTTATAAAGAACTTGACCCTGTGCCGAACGTAGACGTCAAAGTGCGAGTGCTGTCGACTGGTGTGCTTAATGTGTTAAACCAACATAGGCGGCATCAGAATAGCAATTTGACATTCCAGCAACGGCAAGGGTTTAGGGAACTACGCGAGCTAAGATCAAACGGCACAATAAGAATCTCTGTGAGCGATAAGGGAGGATAGTTTGTCGTTATGCCACAAGTCCTTGGGTCGTGCCATAACAGAAATTCACCTGCGGGGTACAACCACGTACCGCCGTGCAACAGCTGAGGAATTTTCATCACAATGCAAGCCTCTCAACCATATCTGGATGAAAGAAGGCAAAACTGCAGGTCTTGATGAGAAATTCCTTTGCAGACTCAGGTTCGATTCTCCAAGTTGTCCTGTATTTTACAGCTTGGTGAAAACCCACAAA